CGCCCCCTCCCACATCTGCGCCCCGGGAGCAGCCAGTGGAGCCCGGCAGCAGCGGTGGCGGCCAGCGCCCAGGACCCCAGTCTACGGTGGAGTCCCGGGACGCGGAACCAGGGAGGCGGCGCCCGAGCGCTCCTCTTGCTGCTGGCAGAGCGCTTCCCACGTCGGGCGGGGCCCGGCCGATGGGAATCCGGGACAGCAGGCGAGCGGCCACGACGGGACGACCCTCCATTGTCCATTGACCTCACCTTCCACCTGCTGCGGACGCTGCTGGAGCTGGCGCGGACGCAGAGCCAGCGGGAGCGAGCCGAGCAGAATCGCGTCATATTCGACTCTGTGGGCAAGTGATTCGCCCGGTCTGGGGCCACAAAAATCTTGACCCTTCTTCCCCCACCCTGGGCTGGAACGTGCGCACCGGACCTGACTCAGACCCGGGGAGGAGAGCGGCCCAGGGGCACCCTGAGCACTCTGTGTGGCTATTTTTTAATAAAAGTGCCGAAGAGCCTTTGGCGTCTGTCGTGGGGGCGCGGGCAACCACAACAGGGTGAGAGCTCATGGGAGAGCAGGGCCTCTCAGGAACGAGCTGGTGCAGGGGGGATCGGGGAGAACGGCTTTCTGCCAGTGTCCTGCGGGTTGCATTACTCCCCAAATCCTCGAACTCTGAGGTCCGCACTGCCGCACCACCCACGACCATGGACCCTCTTCCCAGGGCACTGGGCTCTACGAGCCTGCTTCTGGCATCAGGGAGGTGCCCAGGAGGGGTCCATTTCATTTCCTTCCCCCAAAGGGTCTCAACTTCGGGGAAGGACGGGATGGTAGCAGGGTCGCCTCGGAAGCCGAGGCTGAGGGAGGGCAGAAAGGAGATACAGGTCTGGGACGCCCGAGTGTTTTATTGAGTCCCTCCGCGGGGCGGAGCGCCGAGCTCAGTGGCGCGGTGGTCCCTGCGCCGATCCTCCACCACCCTCGCGCCAGGTCCGGATTGCGCCAACTCTTCAGCAGGGTCGGGTCAGTGCAGGCCTGTGTCCAGGAGTGAAAGCTCGGTGAGCGGGCGCGCCAAAGGAACGAGGCAGCCCGAGCCCCAGCTCGCCCCCTTTCCCCAGCCAGGTGGGCTCCGCCTCTGCTTGCCGATTCCAGCCTGGTCTCGCAACGCCCGCAAGGAACGTTGGTGGGAAAGAAAGTGCACTTTTACGCGCGCTAGGGGGCGCTCCTTTGTGGCTCCCGGATTAGGTGGCACTTAAAAGGAGTCGGGGCGCTGAGCGACCCCAGGTGCCGCAAGGAAGGCAATCATCCGAGGAGAGGGCGGGAGCTTGCCAGCCAGGCTCCGCCCCAAGGTCTGCCGGCCACTCACCTTCCGGCCCGTCCGGTCGCTCTTCCTCCGGCCCCGCGCTGCCGTCTTCCCCGTCCAGCGCCAACTCCTCATCGTCTTCCTCCCCGGAGGCGCCTGCGCAGAAGCAAGGCCGGGTGAGACGGTGTCCCTGCTTTCTTGGCGGTCCTGCCCACCTTGCCCCCCGCACGGAGGGTCTCAGCGCCCCAGTCCAGCCGCCTGCCCCTCCTCCTCCTTCGCTCCCTCACCTGGCTGGAAGTCGATGGTCCTCAGCATTTCCGCCACGTGCTCCACGCTCACGGTGAACTGCTCCATACTCTCGTAGCCAGGCTCGGGCCGTCCCGCCAGCTCCACCTTCGACATCGTCCCGACCCTGCAGCGGCCACAGCGGCTCAGCTGGCAAAGCCCAGCTTTCGGGTCCCTCCCCGAGCCCGTGGAGCCGGCGCGGCCCTTTCCTTCCTCTTCCCGCTCTGCCTACTCACTTATTGATCAGCTCCTTGGCCTGCTGCAGGGGGAAAAAGGGTGAGAGTCAGCACTGGGTCCACCCCAGCAAAGTCCCATTCCAAGTCTCACCACGCCCTTCCTGGTGGGTGGGGATGGGCCCCCAGCTCCTTAGGGAGAAAACGAACTCAGAAGGGTGACTTGCTTAGGATCGTGGGGTGAAGTATGTGTGTGCAAGGATAAGGCGTGAACCTGGTCTCTAAGTGCCTAGGCCACGACTCCATCTGTGCCGTTCTGCCGCCCTCCCTGGGGCCCACCTGGAGGTAGAGCGCCATCTGCGGCTCCTCCATGGACTGGATGGCGGACTCCACCAGCTTGGAGGAGGCCTCCAGGTGGTCTCCGTACTGACGGATGAGGCCTCGTACTCGCTGCAGCTTCTCCTCCTGCTCCCGGGCCAGGGCTTGCAGCAGCTCGCCCTTGCGCTCCTCCAGCACTGCGCACAGGGTCTCAAACTTTTGGTTCAACAATTGCTTCTGCCTTCGACTGTTGTCCTGAAAGACCCAGAGCAAGGATGAGGGAGGGCATGGCTGAGAGATATAGCTAGGAGAGCTTCAGAGATTTGTCCTGCTTCCCATTTCGTGGGAAGAGCCAGGCAGGAAAGTAACTTGCCCATGGTCCTCCAGAATCCAGCTTGCACCTTTCTGTAATAATCATACTACCTATGATATATATATATTTTTATTTTTGAAGAGGTTTTTGCTATAGGGCGCGTGCGTTTGCCAGAAAGGCAGAGACAGAAAGCAAGAAATCACCACCACTGGCGGGTGGGGGGGGGGCGGCATGCCGCAATCCCTTCTCCTCCATTCTCCTCTCCGGATCTTAGGCATGCACGCACACGCGTGGGGCGTGAGTTTAAGCCGCAGGGTCCGGGACTCAACCAGGGTCAACTACATGGGAGTGGAGCGACACAGCCATTACGCTAACTGCTGGTCCCCATACCTATGATATTTTAAAATAGTTTTGCTCAGTGCTGTCTCTACCCCTGCCCTTGGTTTTTATTTGCATTATTCAATTTCATTTTTAAAAATTATTTTATTTAGCTTTATTTATTTATTTAATTTGACCAGAAAGGGACAGAGCGAGCACACGAGAGAGGAAAGTGAGAAAGCAAGCCACCAGGTCTGGGACTGGAACCATGGTCAGTCATGTGGGAGTCCAGCGCAGCTAACCACCATGCCACCCGCTGGCCCCCGATTTAATTCTTAAAAGACCCAGATAAGGTAGACACTATATCATTATCAGCATCACTATTTTACGTAGTTAAAAACAGACAAAACCAAAGCGCAGAGAAGTTAAGTAACTAGACCAAAGTCAGAGCTAGTGAGCAGCAGAGCTGGGATTGAAATCCTATAGCCTTAGCATATCGCACCACTTTTAGGAGCCCAGAAACTTTATGGCCATTTGGGTCAGAGGTTTGAGAGAAGCAGTTGTCTTGGAAGCCCGATTTTCCAGGCCAGCCAGTTCCTATTCCCTCCTCCCCTGTAGCCCAGGCTCACCTCAATGGTCTGGCACACTTCTTCCATCTGCGTGATCACAGCTTGCACACGGTCATTGCCTGCCACCAGCATTGCGATGCCATCACTGAGTTCACTCTGCCACACACACAGGTCAGTGCTTAGAGCTGCAGGACCTGTCCTAGAGCTGTGTCCCTCAGCCCAGCCAGTGCTGCTTAGGAGAGGACTTTCCCCTCCACTCTACCCTCCACTGGGTCATTGACAGTGATAGGAAAGGCTTAGAACAATCCAAGAAGTATGGAGGCATATTCCGTGTATTCTAGAAGAGGTGGAAAGAAGTCCTCTACCACCAAATGAGAAAGAAATAGACATTCTCCAAGCATCCAGCAATGCCAGGCTTTATCTGTAGATCCATACCTTCCATCAGTTCTGAAAAATTCTTAGTACCTGTTCATTCAGATAATATGGCCTCTTCTCCATTCTCTTTGTTCTCTCATTTTGGGGGTCTGATAGACTTATGTCTCAACCTTCTCATCTGCTAGTGCTATAGTATGTCTTTTTTAGTTCTCTTGTCTTGTCATAATTCTCTCTTCAGAAAAATCTGTCATTTAATTCATCTGTTGAATATTTTATTTCAGTAATTGTATTTTCATTTCTTTCTCTTTTTTTTGGAGAGGTTTTTGCTATAGGGCGCATGCGCTCGCCAGGCAGACAGAGAACAGCGACAGAAAGCGAGAAATCACCCCCCAGGGGGGATGGCCATGCCGCAATCCCTTCTCCTCCATTCTCCTCTCGGAATCATGGGCACGCACGCACACGTGCCTGGCATGAGTTTAAGCCACCAGGTCCGGGACTTGAACCGCGGTCGACTATGTGGGAGTCCAGCGACATAGCCATTATGCTAACTGCTGGTCCCAGTAATTGCATTTTCATTTCTAAAAGCTCTATGCTGGTCTTTGTCAAATCTCTATTTTTTTTTAATTCCATCTTTTCTTAAGGTATTTTATTCATGGTGACTTTCTATTTCTTGAATATTCTAACATCTGGGGCTGGCAGGTGGCATGGTGATTAAGGGTGCTGGACTCCCACATGGCCAACCATGGTTCAAGTCTCAGAACTGGTAGCTTGCTTTCTCACTTCCCCTCTCTCTCTCTCTGTCCCTCTCTGGTCAAATTAAAATAAATGAATGAATAAAGTTAAATAAAATGATTCTTTAAAAAAAGAGGAAAGAAAATTCTAATATCTGGGACTGGTTCTGTGAGCTAGTGGTTAAATGAACTGGATCCCACATGGCCAACCAGGTGGTTCTAATCTTGGCCCTAGCAGCTTGAAAAACATGCTGGACATATGTGCAAGCATGCCTCAAATCCTGACGAAATGGAGAAATGGAGGAGAAGAGATTGAAGCGTGACCATGCCCCATGGGGGAGTTCTCTCTCTCCCTCTCCGTCTGGCGAGTGTACAATGCTCTCTGGCAAATTAAAAAAAAAAAAAGTCGGGGACCAGCGGTTGGCATAAGGGCTATGTTGCTGGACTCCCATGTAGCCGACCGTGGTTTGAGTCCTGGACCCTGTGGCTTAAACTCACACTGGACGCGTGTGTGTGCGTGCCCAAGATCCTGAGAGGAGAATGGAGGAGAAGGGATTGCGGCATGGCAATCACCCCCTGGGGAGTGATTCTAGCTTTCTGTCTCTCTGTTTCTCTCTGTCTTTCTGGCGAGCACATGCACTGTATAGCAAAATCCTCTCCCCAGAAAAACCCAGGGACCAGCAGATGGCATAATGGGTACATTGCTGGACTCCCACATAGTCAACCTGTAGCTCAAGTCCTGGGCCTAGAGGCTTAAAACTCATCCCAGGCACGTGTGCATATGCACCCAAGATTCCTAGAGGAGAAGGGAGGAGAAGGGATTGTGATGTGGCCATTTTCCCTGTGGGGTGAGGGGGTGACTTCTCACTTTCTGTCTTTCTGTCCCTCTCTGTCTCTCTGGTGAGTGCACATGCCTTATAGCAAAAATCTCTCTAAAAAAAAAATCTAATATCTGGATTTCTTGGGAATCTAAACCTATCATTTTTATTTCTGCCTATTTCACTCATAGAGTACAATTTGCTGTGTATTTTCAATTATGAGCTAATATTGTGTTGATCTTAATCTAAGGGAAGTTTAAGAACCAAAAGTAAGGATATTTTCTACCAGGTAGAATTTGCACTTGCTCTGTCAAAAGCCAAGTGGCATAGATGAGCACTTTGGATCGTGAGATTGGAGTTTAACGTGGGGCTTGGGGAGTCTTAGCTGCAGGTCCCCACATTTTAGGGGTTTGGAGGCACAGTCTCTTCTCTCCGACTTAGCCATCCTACCAGCATAGGCCCTCTGGGAAAAGCTGCCTTTTCTGTGCTGGCCCCACAGGAAAGACTGTCTTCAACTTACATTCGGCTCTTTGCCCCATTCCACCCCCATTTGGAGATTCTTTCTATTTTCTATGTGCTAATCAACATAATCTTTGTATATGTATTTATTTTAATGCTTTTATTTATTTATTTTTGAGAAATTTTTGCTATAGGGTGTGTGCACTTGCTGGAGCGACAGAGAGAAAGAAAGTGAGAAATCAGCTCCCATTGGGGAATGGCCACGTGGCAATCCCTTCTCCATTCTCCTCTCAGGATTTTTGGGGTGTATGTACATGCACCTAGTGTGTTTCAAGCTGCTGAGTCCAGGACTCAGGCTGCAGTGAGCTGTGTGGGAGTCCAGCATCTTAACCACCACACCACCTGCTGATCCCACCAACATAATCTTTATACTTTATGCAGAATCTACTTGTGTGATGATGAGAGGACTTGGAGGGTTGGGATTAGGGCCCTGTCTAGCTCACGGTACTGAAGCTCATGCTTTATTATCTAATTTTATCCTGACAACAACTCTCAGAAGTAGGCATTTTCAACTTCATTCTACAAGTAAGAAAAGTGAAGGCCGGAGAGATTAGGGCACTTACCCAATGTCGCACACTGGGTCAAGCCCAGAGCTGGAACTTCAGCCCTGATCTACTTGACTTTAAAGCCAGGTGGAGTAAGAAGCTGACATTTGAGACCCTGTCCTAAGCTCCTGCGCCCCACATGCCCGCTCCCTCCCCTGCTTGATACCTTCTGGCGTTTGTAAATGGTGGGCAGGGGGGCCACCTCGCAATCCTTGTGGGCACCGAAGACCTTGCAGAGAGAGCAGGTGGGCACTTCGCAGCTGAGGCAGTAGATATTGATCTTCTCATCTTCATGCTCCTCGCACATGAGGTGCTGCTCAGCCTTGGAGTGCAGTGGGCTGCAGGGGAGTGGGGAGGAGCTAGGTCTGGGGTGCTAGGGCCCATAGACACCTTCTCTTCGACTTCTGCCAGTCACCACTCATGCTGCCCTGCCACCGATGCTGTGCAGGGCGGGTGAGTAACTTCCATGGTACTATTTTTTTTTAAGAGTCATTTATTGGGACCAGCAGATGGTGTAATGGTTCCGTTGCTAGACTCCCACATAGTCAACCACGGTTCAAGTCTCAGACCCAGCAGCTTAAACTCACGCCGGGTGCATGTGCATGTGTGCTCGAGATCCTGAAAGGAGAATGCAGGAGAAGGGATTGCGGTGTGGCCATCCTCCTTGGGGGAGGGGGGTGATTTCTCACTTTCTATCTCTCTGTCTCTTTCTGGCAAGTGCATGTGCCCTATGGTGAAAACCTCTTAAAAAAAAAGTTATTTATTTAATTTTACTTATCATTATTTTTTATTTCCCTTTGCTGCAGGGCACATGCACTCACCAGAAAGAGACAGAGAGGGGAGGGGAGAGTACGAAAGCAAGCCACCAGATCTGGGACTCAAACTACAGTCGACCATATGGGAGTCCAGAGCCCTAACCACCACGCCATCTGCTGCCCTCCATGGTTGTTCTTAATGGGAATGGAAGTTGCTAAGAGGTAGAGATCTGGATCCAAGAGGAGGGGAGGAAGTCCCACAGGACAGGAAGTCATGAAGGGTTGGCAAGAAGCTTGCTGGTAGACTGCCAGCACCTTCCCAGGAAGAGAAGTGAAGGCAAAGAGCTGGCCAGAGGCTGAGACCCCTCTCTAGCAACCCTGTCTGGTCCAGTCCTCTCCTCTCTAAACTGAAGGGGCAGACTGGTTGTTCCAGGCCCCCCTCCTGGCCCTGATGGATTCCTTGGCTGGGTCCCCGGCCCTGCCGTGTAGAGAGGCAAAGGCCCGCCAGCTCACCGGGATGACTCCTGCTTGTATATGTCGATGATGTTCTCCACCAGCAGGTTTCGCTGCAGGCCGTACACACCATGTCGGTCTAGGACAACTTCATGCCTGCAGGACGGGCAGCGGAAACGGCCTCCTGAAGACACGGTGGTGGAGCCCCGGGATTGCCATAGAGGGTTCGAGGCCTGTGAGGACAGGTGGCATGAGAGAACAGGCACAGTGAGACGTGGGGAACTGGGAGGAGGTGGGGAAAGGTCATGGGCGCTCGGGAGTAGAATGGTAGAGGGCAAGGTGGTAGCTCTTTTCTGTAGCGGGAGCAGCTGTTTTAGTCCCCCTGTGTAGCCAGGAGATCTTGGTTCCCACCGTGGCCTCATTACTCAACCACCTCTTGAGCAGCCCTGTATGCAGGGCCTAGCTTTAGCCAAGGCCTGGTCAGTGCAGGATCTCCAAGCTGGGCCCCTTAGAGTGATGGGAGCCACTGGCCTTGGGAAGGCTGAGGTAGGAAATGAACACTAAGTGGTACAGTCCATGTCCTCCAGGCTGGGGCCCTCGTGGGCCACACCTGACGTATGATCTTGCTTCAGACTCCCCACAGGTGGTCAGGACTGACCTCAGGGCATGACCTGAGGTGGGCTGGAGAGGCCACTACCTCTTTTTCACCACTGTTGCTGAGAACTTTCTTTAGCAGCTCATCCCATTGCTTAATCACTGCCTTTCTTCTGGAACCCAGAGGGCTGAGAGGTATCAATGCTCAGACAGTCTAACCCTGGTTGCTTTGAAGAGCCCCTTTCTTGGGAGAGAGGAAGAGGAGCTTGAGAACAGGGGTAGGGCGGCAGGGAAGGCTGCACCTCTGCCTTCTTCACCAGCTGGCTCCCTGGAGCAGCCACCTTGGTCCGCTATTATGCATGTAGCCTTTCATCCCCTGGATCCATAGTCTCCTCCTGCTTCCCAAATCCAGTCCTTCCTGGCCTGGCTGGCTTTCCTCTTAAGCTCTGGGACAGCTCCTCTTTCCCATGAGAGCTTCAGTAATGTTGTCCCCCTCCCCCAACTCCCAACCTCACTCCCCTTACTAGTCTCTGGCCAATATATACATGTGCCCTTCAGGACCAGGACTAACTTTGATGAACTTTCTGGGGTGCTCCGGCTTGTAGTGCAGCACTCATGTTGCTTAGAGGTCCTCCCTGTGTTTCTCAAAGTATGGAATGTCTATGGTATACTGATGACAAGCAGGAAGAGTTCAAGGGTGTAAGGAACATTTAAGACTCGTATGTGGGGACCAGCAGATGGAGTGGTGGTTATGTACTGGACTCCCACACGTCAACTGTGGTTCAAGTCTTAGACCTGGCAGTTGAAATCATACTGGGGGGACCAGCAGTTAGCGTCATGGCTATGTCGCTGAACTCCCATGTAGTTGAATGTGGTTCGAGTCCCGGACCTGGTGGCTTAAACTCACGCAGGGCGCGTGTGCATGCGTGCCCAAGATCCCGAGAGGAGAATGGAGGAGAAGGGATTGTGGCGTGGCCATCCCCCCTGGGGGGTGATTTCTCACTTTCTATTTCTGTGTCTCTCTGTCTTTCTGGTGAGTGCACGCGCCCTATAGCAAAAAACTCTCAACAACAAAAAAAGAAATTCGTACTGGGCATCTATGCGTGAGTGCCCAAAATCCTGAGAGGAGAATGAAAGGGAAGGGATTGTGTCATGGCCATCCCCCTGGGGGGTGATTTCTCACTTTCTTTCTCTGTCTCTAGCAAGTACATACACCTGATAGCAAAAATTTTGCTTAAAAGAAAAAAAGACTTGTATATGTTTATTCTAATGTGTATTCTTTTTTTAAGTTCATAGAACTGCTGATTTGTCACGTTCGACTACATGGGAGTTCAGCGACATAGCCATGACACTAACTGCTGGTCCCCGCAGTATGATTTCAAGCTGCCAGGTCTAAGACTTGAACCACAGTTGACGTGTGGGAGTCCAATACATAACTACTATGAGGATGAAATATATATATATATATATATTGAGAAGTTTTTGCTATAGGGCACATGCACTTGCCAGAAAGACAGAGAGACAAAAAGCGAGAAATCACCCCCCCGGGGGGGATGGCCACACCGCAATCCCTTCTCCTCCATTCTCCTCTCTAGATCTTGGGCACACATGCACACGTGCCCAGCGTGAGTTTAAGCCACCAGGTCCGGGACTCAAACCGTGGTCAACTACATAGGAGTCCAGCGACATAGCCATTATGCTAACTGCTGGTCCCATAGATATTTAAGCTTTAAAAGTGAGTCTTTTAAAATAGAACAATTAGAACCAGTAGGTGGCGTGGTGCTTAAGGGCACTGAACTCCACATGGCCAACCATGGTTTGAGTTCCGGACCTGGTGACTTGCTCTCTCACTTTCTCTCTCTGGTCAAATTAAAATAAGTAAATAAGTACATAAATAAAATTAAATAAAAATTGTTAAAAAAAATAGAACTATTAAATCAGAATATGGGGTACACAGCCATGGCAAAAATCAGGAAGCTGAAATGAGAATGAGGTTTGGGACGTTTGTGCTCACCCCTTCCCAATGTGCTCCCTTAACTGAAATTTGCCTGACTTGGTTGCCGAATCTTTTGCAAATGTTGGCTGGCTACTTTGAGAAAGTCATCTATACTGAATATATGGATAGTGCTACTCCTTCTCAGTAATATCTTCGTATTTATTTATTTAAATTGCCAGATGAGGGCCAGCAGATGGCATAGTGGTTATATCACTGGACTCCCACATGGCCAACTGCAGTTCGAGTCCTGGACCCAGTGGTTTCAAAATCACACTGGGCACATGTGCGTGCCTGCCCAAGATCCCTAGAGGAGAATGGAGGAGTGGCTATCCTGCCAGAGGGTGAGTTCTCTCTTTATTGTCTATCTCTCTCTGGCAAGCATATGTGCCCTAAGGCAAAGACCTCTTTAAAAAAAAAAAGAATGAAATTGCCAGAGGGTGTGTGTGCTCATGAGGGGAGAGAAAAGAGGGGGGAGAGAGAGAACCCATTGATGGAGTGTGGTGACACCACAATCCCTCCTCCATTTCTTCATTCTGTCAGGATTTTGGACATGCACATACATGTATCTGGTATGTTTTCAAGCTGCTGAGGTTGGGATTTGAACCATGGTTGGTGAGGATTCTGGTCTTTTATTTATTTAGGAGAGGTTTTTGCTATATGTGTGTGCTCGCCAGACAGAGAGAGACAGACAGAGACAGAAAGCGAGAAATCACCCCCGGGGGGAATGGTCATGCCGCAATCCCTCTTCCTCCATTCTCCTCTTGGGATCTTGGGCACGCACGCACACGCGCTTGGCGTGAGTTTTAAGCCACCGGGTCCGGGACATGAACCGTGGTCGACTACGTGGGAGTCCAGTGACATAGCCATTACGCTAACTGCTAGTTCCCAGGAATCTGGTCTTCTATGCACATAACAATCGTGCTACAGGGCTGGCCACAGCTCTGTATTTTAATAGAGGGCATCTCACGCAACACAATATGGGGAAGCCGCACCTGTGACTTCGTCACCAACAGAAATCACAGCTGTTTTCACATCACATGACAGTTGTTGCTGAAATCTGAAAAACTAATTTACACGTATTACTACTTCTCAGTTACAGTAGTTAGTAGGCCTACTGCCAGATCTCACCATTTAATGTGTTAATCAAGAAGCACATACATTACTCTATCAAATACTTACCTGTTTCTTCTTTTTTTTTTTTTTGGAGAGGTTTTCGCTATAGGGTGCGTGTGCTCGCCAGAAAGACAGAGACAGACAGAGAGATAGAAAGCGAGAAATCACCCCCCAGGGGGGATGGCCACGCCACAATCCCTTCTCCTCCATTCTCCTCTCGAGATCTTGGGCATACACGCACATGTGCCCAGCGTGAGTTTAAGCTGCCGGGTCCAGGACTTGAACCGCAGTCGACTACATGAGAGTCCAGCGACATAGCCATTATGCTAACTACTGGTCCCACATATTTCATTTTTATAAAAAACGTTTTGCTTAAGGGTGTGTACACTTGCTGAAAAAAGACAGACAGAGGGAAAGTGAGAAAGCACTCCCCAAGGGTGGATGGCCATGTTGCAGTCCCCTCTCCTCCATTCTCCTTTTGGGATTTTGGGCATGCACACATATGTACTTGGCATGCTTTTCAAGCCATGTTGGAACTCCAATCATGTGGTTGTCTGTGTGGAATCCAGCCATCCCAACCACCATGTCATGGACTGACCCCATATTTCAATAATATTTTAGTGTCTCCCACGCTTTTTTTTTTCAAATTTTATTTATTGTTATTATATTTTAACTTGACCAGAGAGAGAGAGAGAAGGAAAGTGAAGAAGTAAGCCACCAGATACAGGACTCAAACCATAGTCAGCCATGTAAGAGTCTAGCGCTTTAACCACTATGCCATCTGCCGACCCCACTCTCAAGCTTTTTAAAAGAGACTTTCCTTTGAGACCAGCAAATAGCATAGTGGTTATGTTGCTGGACTCCCACATGGCCGACCATGGTTTAAGTCCCAGACCTGGAGGCTTGAAACTCACACGAAGCACATGTACATGCCCAAGATCTCGAGAGGAGAGTGAAAGAGAAGGGATTGTAGCGTGGCCACCCACCACCCTCAGGGGGATGATTTCTCACTCTCTGTCTCTCTGGAAAGCACACCTGCCCTATAGCAAAAACCTCTCTTAAAAAAAAAAAAAAAAGACTTTCCCCCAATTGTTCCCCTCCCCCTGACTAAATGTTAATATGTTAAATGTGTATCTGTCTATGTGCTGCATGCACATCTCTGCTTTATACATAAAAAGAAGTTGTATTTTCCTTCTGCCAAGAATTGAATTTTCTCTTTGGGGGTGATAGTACCCCCACTGAGATTGGATGCCATATTCAGTCAGTTTCCTTTATAATCATATGTATCATATTTCCTGCATTTAAAAACATTGTTCTTAGAAAGGATTCATTGTGGGACTAGCAGATGGCATAATGGCTATGTTGCTGGACTCCCACGTAGTTGACCATGGTTCGAGTCCCGGATCTGGTGGCTTAAACTCACACAGGACACATGTGCATGCATGCCCAAAATCCCGAGAGGAGAATGGAGGAGAGGATGATTGTGGTGTGATCATCCCTCCTGGGGGGTGATTTCTTGCTTTCTGTCTC